AGCGAATCCAGTACCGAATTAATCGATCGCATCGATTGATCTCCCTGCCTCGTGTGCTGTTTTAATCTGTTCTAAACTTGAAATTAATCTAAGAATAATTTATACTCTGTTACAGCCTTGAGACAATTTTCTAAAAGTCACTGAATCGAAGTTTTCTGACTATGTACGTTTACTTTTGTAATTACGTGGATCTATTAGATAATTATTGAAATAAGTACGATTTCTTGACTTAATTAATTGAATTAATTAATTTATTTATGCAATTCACTTGCAATTGTAAAAAAAAACATTAGCACTATTCGTATATCTAATATTCTTTAAAACATTAGACATTACATTTTAATTATACGCTGTCTGATTAAGTATCATGAATTTTCGTCGATAAACAAGACAGTCAGTAAAATCAACTAAAAAATTTAACTGTTCTTCTTTACTGTAGAAGTGTACTTATTTTTTATACATTTTTTACGCTTGAGAAGTGAAGAGGAATCTAACAAAAGTCATTGTATCTCCGTCATTGACTATGGGCAGTGGTCAAAATGAACTTTTTTCCGTGACGTGAAAGCGGACGCGTCGTTTATATCTCGAGACCGATACATCGAGCTAACGAGACATTGTGTGAGTTTCGAAACGTGTGCCTGATCACGCAAACGTCGGTACAGAATCATGAGAGTGAGATTCTTATTCATACAACAGATTCGGCGATTCTAACAAGCTCCATAAATATATGTATAACAACATTTATAAGTATTTATAATTAAATAATAATATAAAAATAATTATAAGCTGGTAAAAAAAGTATAATTGAGATTGAGATTGTCTTTTTATATTTATGGACGATGCTGCATAAATTTGTTCTTGACTTCGGCCCACGCATGCTTCTATATGAAGTCAACGCGCTCGGAAAGGTCGTACAAAGTACATGAACGAGTTGACCCAAGACTAGACGAATAGCATTAAAAAAAAATCATTAATTGATGTATTGACCCTGATCGACGACTTGATCCCATCGATGTTTCATTATGGATTCGAATTGGAATGATAGAATAACGCGTCTACTCATTAAATTCTGACTGTGTACAAATAGTAAATTGTACAACTGTGTACAAACTCACTAAATAATCCTATAAACTTGTTTCCTATAAATTATTTATATTTTTTTAATGATGCGTTTAGGTATAGGCTTATCAATACTTCAGTCCTTCCAAACTTGATATACAGTTTTAACGACGTTATAAAGAATTATGAAATTTTAAAGAGGTAGTGAATATACTAATTGTGAAAATTCTCTGATAAAAATTCCACGCCGGGTTTATTCATTACTCTTCCGGACGTTTTAATATAGAAACCGGCGATAAGATCTATAAGACGCAGTCGGTGAGATATTTTTCCCGCTCGCCCATGCGCGAAATCATCATCGAACTTTTTTTGTTATCGGACGAATCATTAATAACCGCGCTCAGGATGTGGCAGCATCCTGAGGCGAGCCCAAGTCGATGCTTTCGTTTCAAACTGAGTTCACTCGCTTAGCAGATTGTACCAATTCCGAATTATTAATAGTGGTATACCGAATAACATTTCATATTTCGTTTTGTCTCTAGCCACTTTTGATTGAGGAGCGATTAAGGTTGTATGAACTATTACATAA